CTTTACAGACGCTAGCCATATGTCTCTTGCGCTGACACTTAAATCAGCGAAGCGGCTGATGAATCCTAGACGTACAAGCTGATGAATCCTAGACGTACAAGCTGATGAATCCTAGACGTACAAGCTGATGAATCCTAGACGTACAAGCTGATGAATCCTAGACGTCGTGTTGGAAGATTCCCTTTAAATTCCCCGCTTCTCCTTCACACAAATTCAGACAGCTGATGTTCTGAAAGAGCTGTAAAATCTGGACCCCTACAAATCATCTGGGCTAGACAATCTGGACCCTTTCTTTCTAAAATTAGCCGCCGAAATTGTCGCAACCCCTATTACTAGTCTGTTCAACGTCTCTTTCGTAACGTCTGAGATCCCCAGAGATTGGAAAGCTGCCGCGGTCATCCCCCTCTTCAAAGGGGGTGACACTCTAGATCCAAACTGTTACAGACCTATATCCATCCTGCCCTGCCTTTCGAAAGTTTTTGAAAGCCAAGTTAACAAGCAGATCACCGACCATTTCGAATCCCAACGTACCTTCTCCGCTATGCAATCCGGTTTCCAAGCTGGTCATGGGTGCACCTCAGCCACGCTCAAGGTCCTAAACGATATTATAACCGCGATCGATAATAGACAGTACTGTGCAGCCGTCTTCATCGACCCGGCCAAGGCTTTCGACTCTGTCAACCACCGCATTCTTATTGGCAGACTAAATAGCCTTGGTTTCTCAAATGACTGCCTCGCCTGGTTCACCAACTACTTCTCAGATAGAGTTCAATGTGTCAAATCGGAGGGCCTGTTGTCTGGACCTCTGGCAGTCTCTATTAGGATGCCACAGGGTTCAATTCTCGGGCCGACTCTATTCTCTGTGTATATCAATGATGTCGCTCTTGTTGCTGGTGACTCTCAGATCCACCTCTACGCAGACGACACCATTTTGTATACATCTGGCCCTTCATTCGACACTGTGTTAACAAACCTCCAAACGAGCTTCAATGCCATACAACACTCCTTCCGTGGCCTCCAACTGCCCGACTAGAATCACTACTCTCTGCGTTTCTGACTTAGAATATGTGGACAACTACAAATACCTAGGTGTCTGGTTAGACCGTAAACTCTCCTTCCAGACTCACATTAAGCATCTCCAATCCAAAGTTAAATCTAGAATCGGCTTCCTATTTCGCAACAAAGCCTCCTTCACTCATGCTGCTAAACATGCCCTCGTAAAACTGACTATCCTACCGATCCTTGACTTCGGCGATGTCATTTACAAAATAGCTTCCAACACTCTACTCATCAATGGGATGTAGTCTATCACAGTGCCATCCGTTTTGTCACCAAAGCCCCATATACTACCCACCATTGTGACCTGTACGCTCTCGTTGGCTGGCCCTCACTACATATTCGTTGCCAAACCCACTGGCTCCAGGTCATCTATAAATCACTTCTAGGCAAATCCCCGCCTTATTTTAGATCATTGGTCACCATAGCAACACCCACCCATAGTATGCGTTCCAGCAGGTATATCTCACTGGTCATCCCCAAAGCCAACATCTCCTTTGGCCGCCATTCCTTCCAGTTCTCTGCTGCCAATGACTGGAACGAATTGCAAAAATCTCTGAAGCTGGAGACACTTATCTCCCTCACTAACTTTAAGCATCAGTTGCCAGAGCAGCTTACCGATCACTGCACCTGAACACAGCCCATCTGTAATTAGCCCACCCAACTACCTCATCCCCATATTGTTATTTACATTGTTATTTATTTTGCTCATTTGCACCCCAGTATCTCTATTTGCACATCATCTTCTGCACATCTATCACTATGGCACTTTGCACTATGGCCTATGTATTGCCTTACCTCCATAACTTACTACATTTGCACACACTGTATATAGATTTTCTATTGTGTTATTGACTGTACGTTTTGTTTATTCCATATGTAACTCTGTGTTGTTGTTGTTGTTTTTATTGCACTGCTTTGCTTTATCTTGGCCAGGTCACAGTTGTAAATGAGAACTTGTTCTCAACTGGCTTTCCTGGTTAAATAAAGGTGAAATAAAAAAATAAACAATGTATATTATATCTATAATTTTAATAGTAGGTTTATTCGAACAGTGAGAGACAGAATAACAACAAAAAAATCCAGAAAAACGCATGTCAAAATTTGTATAAATTTATTTGCATTTTAATGAGGGAAATAAGTATTTGACCCCCTCTCAATCAGAAAGATGTCTGGCTCCCAGGTGTCTTTTATACAGGTAACGAGCTGAGATTAGGAGCACACTCTTAAAGGGAGTGCTCCTAATCTCAGTTTGTTACCTGTATAAAAGACACCTGTCCACAGAAGCAATCAATCAATCAATCAGATTCCAAACTCTCCACCATGGCCAAGACCAAAGAGCTCTCCAAGGATGTCAGGGACAAGATTGTAGACCTACACAAGGCTGGAATGGGCTGCAAGACCATCGCCAAGCAGCTTGGTGAGAAGGTGACAACAGTTGGTGCGATTATTCGCAAATGGAAGAAACACAAAAGAACTGTCAATCTCCCTCGGCCTGGGGCTCCATGCAAGATCTCACCTTGTGGAGTTGCAATGATCATTAGAACGGTGAGGAATCAGCCCAGAACTACACGGGAGGATCTTGTCAATGATCTCAAGGCAGCTGGGACCATAGTCACCAAGAAAACAATTGGTAACACACTACGCCATGAAGGACTGAAATCCTACAGTGCCCGCAAGGTCCCTCTTCTCAAGAAAGCACATATACAGGCCCGTCTGAAGTTTGCCAATGAACATCTGAATGATTCAGAGGAGAACTGGGTGAAAGTGTTGTGGTCAGATGAGACGAAAATTGAGCTCTTTGGGATCAACTCAACTCGCCGTGTTTGGAGGAGGAGGAATGCTACCTATGACCCCAAGAACACCATCCCCACCGTCAAACATGGAGGTGGAAACATTATGCTTTGGGGGTGTTTTTCTGCTAAGGGGACAGGACAACTTCACCGCATCAAAGGGACGATGGACGGGGCCATGTACTGTCAAATCTTGGGTGAGAACCTCCTTCCCTCAGCCAGGGCATTGAAAATGGGTCGTGGATGGGTGTTCCAGCATGACAATGACCCAAAACACACGGCCAAGGCAACAAAGGGGTGGCTCAAGAAGAAGCACATTAAGGTCCTGAAGTGGCCTAGCCAGTCTCCAGACCTTTATCCCATAGAAAATCTGTGGAGGGAGCTGAATGTTCGAGTTGCCAAACGTCAGCCTCGAAACCTTAATGACTTGGAGAAGATCTGCAAAGAGGAGTCGGACAAAATCCCTCCTGAGATGTGTGCAAACCTGGTGGCCAACTACAAGAAGCATCTGACCTCTGTGATTGCCAACAAGGGTTTTGCCACCAAGTACTAAGTCATGTTTTGCAGAGGGGTCAAATACTTATTTCCCTCATTAAAATGCAAATCAATTTATAACATTTTTGACATGCGTTTTTCTGGATATTTTTGTTGTTATTCTGTTCCTCACTGTTCAAATAAACCTACCATTAAAATTATAGACTGATCATGTCTTTGTCAGTGGGCAAACGTACAAAATCAGCAGGGGATCAAATACTTTTTTCCCTCACTGTATGTGTATGTGACCAATAACATTTGATGTGATTTGAGAAATCAGAACCATGGACAGCCACATGATATTTAGTTACATTGATTGGACTAAATTGTTTTGGGTATCTTTAAGTTTGTTTTCAGTGTATAAAACTAAGCTTATATAGCGTTGTTGATTTGATGATGTTTAAATGTTGAAGTTGAAGTTGAAATGGTGCTGGAATAGCAGAGGCACTGCTCCTGTTGTCTTTGTGCTGACTTGTTGTAACTCTGTGGTTCTAAATCAGTAGTTGTTTATTTAGAAAACTGTTGAAAACGTTCACTTTTTGGCCATGCTGCAGGTGATATAACTGTTTGGCCATGCTGCAGGTGATATAACTGTTTGTTACATGCAATATTTGCTTTGTGTACTTCACCGGACAGATGTTGCACTCCGGTTTTTGTGATGAAACAAACGTATGTGTAGTTGAATTTATTCCGCCACTGTGTGACTGTTGTCTTCTTGTTGTCACGGCCTTATTGTTTATCACAGTGATGTATGAACGAATGGGTTATAGAGCAAACAACGCAATTATCACAACCCAGGTTGTAATATAAATGTAAATGTAAATGTAATATGGCTTTTCTACTGGCTTGGCAAGGCTTCCTCAGTGATTTTACCCACACACCGCTACTGTTCAGAATAAATTAACATACACAATATGTAAAAACCAGCTCTCTCGACAGAGATCGATCATTTCGAAAAGTAAAGCAGATGGCTTGCTACGGCCCACCACCTAATATAGGAGTCAACAGCCATGTTTCAGGGTTATAGGCCTACCTACTTACATTGAGAGCAAAATATATTACTGTGCTTTACAGCCAATAACTCTTAAAACGATATGGCTTTGAGACTAATTCTACTTTCTACCCACATTCAGTCCAATTTTAACAAATATTATTGTATTGTAACCTACTGAGTTCATGATTTGCACAGCCTAGCATAACTTCCTAGGTCAGGCCGTCAACATTTCTGGTCATGCTCAGAACTTATACCTCTAGTCCGGCTATCCTATCGGACATATTTGATGAAACACAGGAACGATTAAAGGGAAACATATTTGTTTACATAGATCCGAAGACGCTGGAAAAGTTTAAATATTTTAAGTTTCTCTGACATCTTTTGGGTTCGAAATTAGCCAGGGACCTTTTACTATTTAATCACTTACAAACAATGAAAAAACATTCAATGGTCTTGTTTAGTTAGCTCTCTGGAGCAGGTTTTCCGCTTGCTACGAGGGTAGCTAGCTAGCTCGATGTTAGCAACAATCAATCGCTTGCTATACATTTCACGATGGACAGCTATGAAATTTGACCTTCGATGTTATTAACACATTTAAAGGTTGTTATTGCAGTTTTACAAAAATGGATATCAGTCTAACAATTTCCCTAATGCGGGGCCAGATGGGTACCGTTATAGAGAGAGCGGTTAGTGCCGCTGTTGAGACTGTGTTGGGGGAGATGTTGAGAGTGGTCGGCATTAAATTTGACGAGCTGAAGATGGAGATGGCAGCTAAAGAGAAAGAGACGGAGAACATAAGACAGATGCTGGAGATATCCCGATCTCAGATGAAGACAATGCGGAAGCACATGAACGCTCTGGGTGAGAACGCGCACGCTGCCACTTATCAGACCGACCACAGGACAGGATTCGGCCATTCGGATCCCTGCAGAGTTCACGGTTCCTCCGGGGCCGCGCTGTCCTCGGGTCTACCAGAGCCGCCGAGAAGGACGGTTCCAAACAACAACCAAATGCCCACTACAAATGGAAATTTACAGCCAAGGAATCGAGTCACCATCACCCTACCCTCTGAGAATATGGTCAGGGCCTCACAACCCTCTGATAACTTGGTCAGGGCCACCCAACCCTCTGATACCTTGGTCAGGGCCACCCAACCCTTTGATAATAGGGTAACCGTTAGGGCCACATCAACATCCTTTGACAGTCACGATGATCTGACAACTATGATCTCCCAGGCTGTTGAGGACCCATCATTGACACCCACTGTCTCTGCAATGAATAGTTCATCAGAGCATCTGGAACCTTTGAAAGGTAGAATGTCTTGTCTCAGATCTTGTCGGGTTTGTATGTGGGTTTTATTCGGTGTTTGCTTGTGTATGTAAATTGATGGCCTTCCTGAACTAGTACAGCCCTGTATATTCCCCCCTTGTTTGTTGACCACCATGTTACCTCTCTGTCCCTCCAGAGGAGCACCCAACCCCCCTAGACCCAGAGGTGTCTGATGAGAGCCAGAGGAGGGAGGAGGAAGAAGAGTGTGAGGCTGAGTGGACCATCAGTACACAGCCACCAGAGACCAGCACAGACCCTGGGGACCAGCTGGTCCTCTCCCCACCCAGGGCTGACGGAGCAGACTGCTCTGCCATGACTGCCAGGAGTGTACTGCCACCCTCCCTGTCCCAGTTCCAGGTGAAAGAGGAGGAAGCTGAGGTGGATATCATCTGTATCAAACAGGAACCAGAGGAGGTGGAGACCCTTCTGATAAACCTGGCTGCTGAAGGCTTCAACTCTCATGGCAACCTTTTAGACAGGCAGACTCAGAGAAACCTCCTCCTGGACAGTCACAGGACAATAGCAGCCTCTGAGAGCCAGAGGGATAGGAGAGCACCCCGTCCACCGCAGGGCCAGAGGACCTTAGCAGAGCACACACCCTTCACCTCAGCCGACTCTTGTTCATGTGAGTTCAATTTCCCTGAGACATGGTGACTCCATAATCTACAGCCATGTCCCAAGTCAAAATACTGCTTTGTTGTGGTCACTATGCTTCTGTTCAATAAAATATTATTTGTATTTTATTTTATTTATTTCACCTTTATTTAACGAGGTAAGCCAGTTGAGAACAAGTTCTCATTTACAACTGCGACCTGGCCAAGATAAAGCAAAGCAGTGCGATAAAAACAACAACACAGAGTTGGGGTAAAACAAAACATAAAGTCAAAAATACAACAGAAAATCTATATACAGTGTGTGCAAATGTAGTAAGTTATGGAGGTAAGGCAATAAATAGGCCATAGTGCAAAATAATTACAATTTAGTATTAACACTGGAATGATAGATGTGCAAGAGATGATGTGCAAATAGAGATACTGGGGTGCAAATGAGCAAAATAAATAACAATATGGGGATGAGGTAGTTGGGTGGGCTAATTTCAGATGGGCTGTGTACAGGTGCAGTGATCGGTAAGGTGCTCTGACAACTGATGCTTAAAGTTAGTGAGGGAGATAAGAGTCTCCAGCTTCAGAGATTTTTGCAGTTATTATTATTATTATTACTCCGATCTAATTGCATGTTGTCTGTCCTTCATCCTCAGATGGGCTGTCCCAGGCAGTGATGTCCATGTCGGGAGGAGTTGCTCCCAGGCCGATGGTGCGACCGTGGCCCAAGGACCTGAGTCTGTACGAGGAGTTTAAAATGAGACGAACTGAGCTGAGGCGGAGGAGCCAGAACCGTCAGAGGGAGATGGAGAAGAACCTTCCCCAGCCTCTATTAGCTGACCTGGTGAAGGAGAGACGGGAGAAGACCCGGCTCAGAGTGGCCCGCTGGAGAGCCAAGAGGAAGCTGCAGGCCTGCCTACTGACCCAGATGACCCAGCACCAACAGGCTGGACCGGGTCTGGGCCAGGGGAATAGTCTGAACAGTGGGCTGGGGAATCCAAGCCAGAATAACCACCACACACAGCACAAAACCACAGGCCCCACTCAAACTCAGCAGAGGAACAGTGCTGGCGTCTCTCAATCTCAGTACAATAACCGTTTTCTGTACAACAGAACTCACTGTGACTCTGGGCCTGGTAACATTAACTACACTCCTCTCCAGTTCAACAACTCCTCTCTGATGCTGGGTCAACATGGAGGACACGGTATGGTGGAGCACGTTATGGAGCAGCCTGCGATGACATCATCCTCACAGCAGGGCCTCTCCCTGAGAGACTCTGAGCTCTACCAGTAACAAGGGATCAGGGGTATTCAAATCTTACCCTACAAAGTTCTGGATTACTGCTGTTTTTTTGTTCTACCTGATCATTAATTACACCCACCTGGTGTCCCAGGTCTAAATCACTCCCTGATTAGAGGGGAAGAATGGAACAGTGGAACTGGCTTTGAGGTCCACATTTGAATTTGAGGGCAGTAGACCAACATTACAATACCAGTTCTACTCTACCAGTACCAGTTCTACTCTACCAGTACCAGTTCTACTCTACCAGTACCAGTTCTACTCTACCAGTACCAGTTCTACTCTACCAGTAATAATATACTTCAGCAGAGGATGTGTTTTGTAGAGTCACTCCTATTGTATGGCACCCTATTCCCTATGTAGCGCACTACTTTTGACAAAGGTGGTCCTCTGTAGCTCAGCTGGTAGAGCACGGCGCTTGTAACGCCAAGGTAGTGGGTTCGATCCCCGGGACCACCCATACACAAAAAAAATAAAATAATGTATGCACGCATAACTGTAAGTCGCTTTGGATAAAAGCGTCTGCTAAATGGCATATTATTATATTATTATAAAGGTCTTTATGGCTCTGGTCAAAAGTAGTGTACTTTATAGAGAATAGGGTGCCATTTTCAGACATAGCCTATGCCTTCTGATGCAGCGCCAATAACATGAGATATTTCAAGGGGAATTGTGTCAATGAAAAATGATCCAATTGTCTGTGACAAATTCATAAAAAAATTGTTTTATTTTAGGATAACAGCCTAATAATGATAATTGAATTGCTTAAAAACATTTCCCGCAAATGTTTTGGTGTACAACAAAAGTATTTATTAAAATACATTATTTATGTTAAATTGAATAATGACCATCCCAACAAATATGGAGGACATATCACTGTACTTGAAAAGCTGCTAGGATCATTATGCATAATTGTTCCAGGTCAAGCTAATTTCTTTGGCAAACTTCATTGGTCAATATTGTCCAATCAGCTGTTATTTATACCTTTTACTTCTCTGCAACTGGATTTAAATAATGCTAAAATACTTATAAGCGCTATTCAGATATAGGCCTATTCAATGATATGTTAGGAAACCATCCAATACATTATTATGAATCACTTTTGAGTTAGGCCCAGTCTTTGGTCAGACTGATTTCTCTTGCTTCATTCCTCCCTACTTGATAGTTACATTAGCAGTGTGCAGGTCAACAGCTGTTTCCATTAACCTGTCCACTGATTTATGTTTTGTCAACATTTAGAAAGTTTGCATAGAAAATAGATGGGACAATTTCCTGCTACTGAGCGTTTCCATTGTCGATAAAAACAGCTGGACGGAATTATGTCACACCTATAACAAAAAACAAAAAAAACACTGAAAATGAAGTGGTTGAAGTGTTACCATTATCCATTTAGGTAAATTGGAAATTAATAAATTGGCGACAGCCTGTATTCCCTCCCACCTCTCTGTTTCATGTCTTCGGTAGCCAGCATGGATAGAATGCACGAATTCACTAATATTTGCCATATTCTAATCGCCACAGTCCGTGCCATGGTGAAACTGAAATAATTGAATGGTGAAACTTGCATCCAGCCAACCAGAAATGCAAAGGCAAAGCAATTCAGGTGTTCTTGAAAGTCAGGACAAGGATCCTGCAAAGAAACCATTTTTCTTGTTGAACAATAGATTCTGCAAGAAAAACGGTATTTAGAGTTAGATGGAGAGGAGCTTTATAGTAATGTGATGATGTCACGTCCCCCGCATACCTTCACTCTTTCGGCAATTGTAATTTATTTGAAAAACACACTTTCCATAATTTGTCGCAATAAAGTTAGAAGACAAATCCACCCCTCTAACAGATAAATCTAATCGATCTTTAGAACATATCTCCTATAGCTGCCGTTTCCACGTCACAATATTGGTGTTTTTGCGACATTTGCTTTTGTCAAATAAACCTGGGTCAATGGAAACCTATAGTGTGTGCAGGCCAGGGTTACCCAGTGTGTTAAGCATTGAGTGTCTTCTGTGAGATGGCTACTGGCAGGGTGTAGAACATCAGGGTTAGGGTAGTGTGTTAGAGATGGCAGGGTGTAGAACATCAGGGTTAGGGTAGTGTGTTAGATGGCAGGGTGTAGAACATCAGGGTTAGGGTAGTGTGTTAGAGATGGCAGGGTGTAGAACATCAGGGTTAGGGTAGTGTGTTAGAGATGGCAGGGTGTAGAACATCAGGGTTAGGGTAGTGTGTTAGAGATGGCAGGGTGTAGAACATCAGGGTTAGGGTAGTGTGTGTGAGATGGCAGGGTGTAGAACATCAGGGTTAGGGTAGTGTGTTAGAGATGGCAGGGTGTAGAACCATCAGGGTGAGGGTAGTGTGTGTAGATGGCAGGGTGTAGAACATCAGGGTAGAGGGTAGATTGTTAGATGGGGTGTGAACATAAGGGTTAGGGTTAGTTGTTTAGAGATGGCAGGGTGTAGAAATCAGTGTTAGGGTAGTGTGTTTAGAGATGGCAGGGTGTAGAACCACAGGGTTAGTGTATTGTGTTAGAGATTGGCAGGGTGGAGAACATCAGGGTTAGGGTATGTGTTAAAATGCAGGTGGTAGAACATCGGGTTAGTGTAGTGTGGTTAGATGGCAGGGTGTAGAAAACCTCAGGGTTAGGGGTAGTGTTGTTGAGATGGCAGGTGTAAACATCAGGGTTAGTAGTGTGTTAGATGCAGGTGTAGAACATCATGGTTAGGGTGAGTGTGTTGGTGGCAGGGTGTAGAACATCATGGTTAGGGTAGTGGTGTTCAGATGGCAGTGTGTAGAAACTCAGGGTTGGGGTATGTGGTTAGGGGCAAGGGTGTAAACATCAGGTGGGTAGGTTTTTTAGATTGCCTTGGTGTAGAAACATCATGTTTAGGAGTAGTTGTTAGATGCAGTGTATAGACATCAGGGTTAGGGTAGTGTGTTAGAGAGGCAGGGTGTAGAACATCAGGGTTAGGGTAAGTTGTGTTAGAGAGGCAGGTAGAACATCAGTTAGGGTAGTTGGGTTTTAGAGATGGCAGGGTGTAGAACAGCAGGGTTAGGGTAGTGTGTTTAAGATGGCAGGGTGTAGCACCCTCATGGTTAGGGTTGTGTTAGAGATGGTCAGGGTGTATAACAGTCAGGGTTAGGGGAGTTGTTATAATGGGCCGGTATAACCTCAGGGTTACGGGTAGTGTTGTTCGCTGGCATGGTGTGAACCTCAGGGTTTGTGTGTGTGTTAGAGATGGCAGGGTGTCGAACATCAGGTTAGGGTATGTGTTAGTGGCATGTGTAAACATCAGGTTAGGGTAGTGTTTAGATGGCAGGGGTAAACATCAGGGTAGGGTAGTGTGTTAGAGTGGCCGGTTGTCTAACATCAAGGTGTTTTAGGGTAGTGTGTTAGAGTCAGTGTGTAATACATCAGGTTAGGGGGATGGTGTTTGATTGCAGGGTGTAGCACATCATGTGAGTGGTTAGGGTAGTGTGTTTATGGCAGGGTGTGAACATCAGGCCTGAGGTGTGTTTAGATGGCGGGTGTAGAACATCAGGGTTCGGGTAGTTGCTGTTAATGCGGTTTTCGAACATCAGGGTTCGTGTAGGTGTGTTAGAGATGGCAGGGTGTCAGAACATCAGGGGTTAGGGTATGTGTGTTAGATGGCAGGGTGTAGAACCTCAGTGTTAGGGTAGTGTGTTAGTGGCAGTGTGTAAACATCAGTTTTCGGGTGTGTTTAGATGCAGTGGGGGAGAACCTCAGTGTTTAAGGGGAGTTGTTTTCCTCCGATTGGCAAGAAAGGGTGTGTAGACACCCAATCCTCGTGGTGTAGGGGTAGTGTGTGTGAGATAGTGCGTCAGAAGTAAGTGTGGTAGCAACTTCAGACGGTTAAGACAGTCTACTGTGTATGAAGTATCTAGAGCTCGGCGGTGTCTACCAGAATCAGGCGTATGCGGTCGTGTACGTAGCTAGACTCTGTGCTACGGGTGTAGAACATCACCGGGGCTGTGAGAGACGTCTCATAGAGCTACGTGGAAGACACGGTGATGTAGCACAGTCAGGCATGGATATAGGTTGGTTGATGAGTGTGGGCGACAATCGTTATCTCTAGAAGCAATCAGGTGTTCTGGTCTCCGTAGCTCCGTAAGGGAGGATGGCGCACTGATGTGACTGCACGACAGCATCGAGGTGTGATCCGGTAGCTATAGCTGAGTGAGAATCTGTCTAGCTGAGCATGACGTCGATGACGAAGCATATCAGGGTGGGCGTATAAATCGGGCGAGCGCGTGCGATGAGATCGAACAAGGTGTAGGAACATCAGGGGTTAGGGTAGTGTGTTAGATGGCAGGTGGTAGAACATCAGGAGTTAGAGGGTAAGTGTGTAGATGCCGGGTGTAGAACATCAGGGTTAGGGTAGTGGGTGTAGATGGCAGGTGTAGAACATCAGGGTTGTCGTAGAAGTGTTAGATGGCAGTGTGTATAACAATCAGTGGTTAGGGTATGGTGTCGAGATGAGCAGTGTGTTAGAACTCAGGGGTTATGGGGATGTGTTAGGAGATGTCAGGGTTAGAACCTCAGGGTTAGGGTAGAGGTGTTGATGCGGTGTAGAACATCAGGGTTAGGGTAACTGGGTTAAGAGCAGGGTGGAGGAACATCGGGTTGGGTAGTGTTTAAGATGGCAGGGTGTAGAGAAACATCAGGGTTCGGGTAGTGTGTTAGAAGATGGCAAGGGTTAGACATCATGGTTAGGTTAGTGTTGTAATAGGCAGGGTGTAGAACTCAGGGTGTAGGGTAGTGTGTTAGATGCAGTTGTAGACCTACAGGGTATGGGTAGGAGTTAGAGATGCAGGGTGTGAACTCAGGGTTAGTAGTGTGTTAAGATAGCGATGGCAGGTTGTAGAACGATCATGGATTTGAGGGGATGGTTTAGATGGCAGGGTGTGTAGAACATCATGGTTAGGGTAGTGTGTTAGAGATGGCAGTGTGTAGACACCTCATGGTTATGGTAGTGTGTTCGATGCCGGGTGGTAGAGAACCCAAGGTTAGGGTAGTGGTGGTTAAGATTGCAAGGGTGTAGAACATCGGTTAGTGTAGTGTGTTCGAGATGGCAGGGTGTAGAACATCAGGGTTAGGGTAATATGTGTGTAGATGGCAGGGTGTAAAACATCAGGGTTAGGGAGTGTGTGGTAGAATTGCAGGGTGTAGAACATCAGGTAGGGTCGTGTGTTAGGAGATGGCAGGTGTTAGAACATCAGGGTTAGGGTATTTTAGAATGGCGGGTGTAGAACATCAGGGTTGTGGTAGTGGTGTGTTATAGATGGAGGGTTAGAACAGCATGTTAGGGTATGTGTTAGTTGGCAGGGTGTAGAACCAGCAGGTTAGGGTATTGTGTTAGAATGGCAGGGGATTTAAGAACAACATCCAGGGTTAGGGGTAGTGGGTTAGATGGCGGGTGGAGAACATCAGTGTTAGGGTAGTGTTTTAGAGATTGCAGGAGTGTAGAGACCTCCGGGATTAGGGTAGTGCTGTTTCGATGGCCAGGGAGTGTAGAACACAGGGTTACTGGTAGTGTTTAAAGATTGCAGGATGTCTAACCTCATGGTTGGGTAGAGTGTTAGATGGCAGAGTGTATAAATACATCAGG